AACTTCCTGCAACAAACCCCAGCCCATGATGCTTCCAGAAAAGCAAACCGACAAGGAATCTCCGGGGAACTTAGAGAGCATGGTTCCTGAAATTTAGCCTGGCAAACAATGTCGACAGCCAGTTGAAAGTAAAAAATGCCTACGACAAAAAGTACCCCAGCGATATACGGTGTATCCAGCGTAAGGTTCTGCTAACACTTCCAGCGACGGGCGCTCTACACCGGATACATACGGCATGTTTTTAAAGGCTGAGGCAAGACGAGGCAAGGGAAATGAGGCCTTTTGAGGCTACCCTGACGAGGTTGAGAGCTGTCACAGCTCCTGGCTCAGTTGGCACCTTTCCCCTAAGAGTAAAGGTCACTAGCGGACCCTGAGATGATGGAAGAGCCCTCATAAGAAGATCAACTGAAAGTCTGGATTTCTTTTTTTTTTTTTTTGTTTCTTTGCGAGCATTGGCTGTTGCCTTGAGTTGTCTTATTCCTGATGTAGCACAGCCAAGCATCAAGCAAGCTCTTATAGTGGATGCTCTCCCCCACGCCCACGCCCCGCGATATGTCAGAGAAGCATGGGTCATCATGGGGAAGAGCTCCTTACAACGTTATAATCCTTGCTAGGGCCGCGCCGCCTGAGGGGTGCGAACAATCACATGGGGGTTGAGCCCATGATGAGCGCTAACTACCAGGTTTATTCGCATCACACGGGCTTGTAGGGCAACCTTACCGATTTTATGAATGCTTTGTGGAATTGCACTTCAGTGATCGTGCCAAGCATTGTTTAAAGGCAGACACGACAGTTGTCCAGGTACTCAATACTAATAATGACTGGAGGCCAAGTCCAGAGTGTACGGTCGGCTCATCATCCCAAACAAAGATGGTCACCCACCCACTTGGCTCGCCTAGCCCTCTGTCCGTGATTCAAGAATATTTTCGTCCCGACCCGACGAACCAACAATTGCAACATAGCCCCTACCTGGTTGATGCTGGTCTTACAAGTGTGGGATCGCAACCATGGAGATGGGACAGGCTACGACGGAACACCTCACGCTTAACAGCTTGACCTCGATCGTTAGCCAAAGGTGAGGTTTCCCAACTGCCTATCGCTGCTCGGGCGACTGGATTTTAGATACCCAGCTTGTGTCTCCATCCGTTCATAGGCCTTGCCATATTCAAGTGATGATGTAGTAGTCCTATATATGACTAGAGACGCGCCTATCAAGACCTGAGCTGACTATCAACCAACCCAACAGTGAAACCGTTTACCATTGAGGCGCTATAGACCCAATTGCTGATTGCCCAAGCATCTGAGCCTACGCGAGAATCGATGCGTGTTGGGATTGATAGAACGTGATAAGAGGCATGGCTTTGATTCGCACCCCTACATATTCGATGGACCGAAGGAGCTGGCTTGATGGAAGCTATCAGCAACTCCTCGAATACTATCGTGAGCTGAACAACCCGCCGTAACCAAGCTTATCAGCAGCGTTGTAGCATGGTTGGTTTAGACAAGGTCAACATGCTTTCAGATCCCTGGTTGTGGGGATCATGGAAGCAAGGCTCAGGGCATTTGACACGTACAAGTATGTATAGCAAGGAAATTGCGCGTGCCGTTGAGCAGTCAAACGACTCGTGGGATAGTTTCCACGGCCGCCCAGGACGATTTCGTTACTGTTACTGACTTAAGACTGACAAGTCGGGCCTTTCGTTGCAGGGCATGACAGCCAGCCAGGCTCAAAGTGACGATGCTGGATATGCAGATAAGGACATGTGAGAGAACAATGCTGGATGATTGCTTCGAACTTGTGAAGCTGGATGGTACGAGAGGATAGTGGCCGTCATCAACTATCGTCTTCTGGCATGTGATGATGCTCCAAGATGCTAACAGGACTTCCGATTGTCGACAAATTTCCAGAGATGAAGGCCCTGAATGGATGAATAGTGACTAACTGGTCTCAATAAACTACCGGCACTTTTCTGCCTATCCGAAGGCTTGCTTGGGGCTTGCACACCACCAAACATGAATACTACCACGCCACACACGCATAGACCGGAATGTTCGGCCGTCGCAGCTGCAGTCGGCAGGAGCATGTTAAACCCGGACGAATTTTGAGAGCCTCATTCTTAGACCAACCTCTAAGTTGATACTGTATAACATGATACGACGGTGAGAATGCAACCACCCGCATACTTCGCATAGGTGGGTAGCCAACTGATTTTCTTCAGTGAGCATGTGAATCCGATCTCACAGTACCTTGCAATCTCTGGTTTCGGTTAAGTTCCTGGGCTACGAAAAACAACTAAAAAGTAAGCCGGATGTGATGAGGAGCAGGCTGACTCTCAGCCTAGGGTCCAAACTCCAAGAGCTCTGGAGACTAAAGGGATTCACCAGTGAAGAAAAAGCACGTTTACGACAGGGATTCCCATAAAGAGCTCAATTTCCAGGGTTCGAAAGGGAAGAAGAAAAAAAACCTTGTTCGGGGCAATACGGATACGCTGAGCAAAGCCCTCGGAAGAAATCGTGTTGAGACCAAGCCTTTACAGCGATCTAGTGAGCTCCACATGATAACGAAACAACTTCTTTTCATGGCGCCTAGAAACCCGTCAGTCAAAGTTCCAGGGGGGCGTGGAGAGAGATTGAGCGCCAAAGCCGCTGGACCGAGGATAGCAACTACCGGCATAGCTTTGCGGTTTGCGGTTTGCGGTTGATCTTGTTTTACTTTTGACGGACTTGCACAGGCGCTCCTGAAGCAACCCTGGGTGTAGGCCGAGGTAATATGACGGCATTCCGAAGGTGAGGCGAGAAAGGTACCAGGCTCGCAGATCCCGATCTCGGTGACTGATATAATTTTGCTTCCCCAGATTTCGACACACGCCCTGTCAATGTTCCCCGGAAAGTGCTGATCTATGGGTGACGGTGTGGATGTAAAGTAAAGCAAAGCAAAGGGACCCTTGATAGATAGCCATGACGATGGCTTCACCAGAGAGCCACTCGCACTGGAAAAAAGAACTTTTCTACAAGAGGAAGTTCCGAACATTGAGGTCGTTTCCGACCGGCTAAGAAGTCTGCTCTAGTCAAGAACCCAGTTCTTATGACTGTACCTTGGAATTCATGTGTCATTCTTACATACTTGGTAATCAAGGAAATCTGGAGACCAGGAATAAACTTTTCACACTTGAATTATCTACGTTAAGAAGTTCTAATGCGACTCCTTTGAATCTTTGGATGGCTTCTCACATGCATTGATGGCCAGTCACATGTTCTGTGATGCTATAGATGATGAGAGATTGGCTCGGTATTGTGAGACTGCCCTAGCGTAGTAGATCGGTGCAGTCGTTTATGACAGTAATCGAGACTATCTGAGCAAGCTTTTTGGTGTGCTTGTAGCCGCTACCGCAACTCATATGGATGAGAACTGGCGGAAACCCTATCACAATCATTTCTAAAAAACCCAGGGGAACAATAGATACAAAACGTTGAGAATAATTAAGAATGACCTGCGTGGTTACTTGGTCACCATTCGCTCTTTACTAACGCAAGAGGTCTTCTGATTTATCTCAATATCAACAGGCCGTGTTCTATGAAGCCTTGACGATGTTGAGAAGAGTTAGATCTCAGTCATCACTTTGCAACTCGCCCCAGCACAAACATCCAATGACCGGATGACCGGAAGTCAAAGGACGTCAAGAGTATACATAGGACATATGGAGCATATGTGAGTTGTGAAAAACTTTACGTATTACCATGCTGGTTCTGAAGTACGAGTCTAGTGAGACAGAGCCTCATGAACTCGCCAGGAACCGTCTAGTTTTAAAGGCTAAAGTTGCAAATTATGTTGAACTGTGATCAATGAAAGCGAGCCCTTCATAAATAAGAGGAATTGCGGCTGGAGCATTGCGCTTGAACTCAATCCTTTTGAGTGTCTCGCCGTCTTGTCATGGCGAAATTGAGCCTTCATGTCGACGCCGTTGCATGATCCCTTTGGTGATAGACTACATAGGTTTCGTCTCCTAGCCAGGAGAGATCATTGTTTATTATACCACTGACTTACTGACTGGACTTGCAACATTTGTGTGATTCATAGTCGAGTTTACAGAGGTGTCCTGGATTCTTTGCCTAGGCATATGTCAACTCTCCCCAAAGACTGCATTACAGGGCGAACGGGTTATTGTATGACCTAGAAAATAGTTACAAATTGCTAGTTATTTATGTTCTGAATTGGAATGCGCGTTGTGGGCGAATATCCTTATATGAATGGTATCCTTCAACCCCTTGGACCTAGAGGATGAGGTTGTGGGAAGCCCAAACGTTCTTGTGGTCTTACCACAGCGCACGGTTTATGAGCAGATGAAATGCAAGCCATCTGGCGGGCAGGTTGTCCACACCCAGAGAACCTCCCAGTTTGCGAGGATTGCAGTGAGATCGGCCACTAGATACTAGTCGCATTGACTGAAGTCAAGGCAACTGAGAATAAGACAGATGCATATGAAACCCATTTGCACCTCAAAGGACTTTTACCCATCATATATATGAAGCTGCAATCATATCCTTTAAAAAACGACAAGTCTGAAAGTCTGAAGAGGTTGGTGCTTACCATGCAGGACTGGACATATAGTTTCAACGGAGAGGCTCTTATAATCCTCAGTAACAGTCTAAAAGTGATAAGAATCTCTACCGGGAGTTATGGTTTGCCCTAAAACGATGCAAATGGCAGTTTGAAGTACCGACTGTAGGTCAATTGGTTGACATTGTTGAATTTATACAAAGAGCTGTTATCATAAAGCGAGGATGAAGATATACAGGCTTGCCCGTCAACTGCTCCACGATGAATATAGGTAACAGCACACAGAGCTTAGAACCGACTATTGTTACAAAGGTAGCCTAGCCAAGCCGGCTTCCAGCATATGATACAAGAACTCAGAGTTCCTTCGCACACCAACCAGTCCAGAATGGTTGCAGGGTAAGACTTAGACTCCGTAAGTCGTTGAACATTCGGGATGTAACAATTACCACTTCACTCCAAAGAAGCTGAGTTTCTTGCCACCCTTGGAAGATGTTGTATCCTCTTGCTCGAGATAGATTCTGTCGTGACCTCTGATGTCGACAAAGAGATATTTGTATTCAAAGTCACTATGGCCGCGGTATTTGACCATATGAAGCCGTGCAATACCGTTGTTCTTGGGCCCATCAACCTAAGGCTGTTAATTTCTCTGGATCATGAAAAACCGTATTCGACGTACATAGAAATGCATCATTATATGCTGGTCCCCCCGAGCATCTGTCGTTTCCGTAGATCTAGCCAAGTCAGCAATTTGAGCTGTTTCCAAATGACGGCCAAGCTCACGCAACAGGACGCGCCCTCCTCCACTTATTGAATGTCTCGTCTCCATGTGCTGTAATCTTCTTGGAGTCGCCCATGAGTTCGATTATACGAGGGTCACGTTTGATCTTGTCAACTGCGCGGTTGAAGTTGGAGATCTTGCTATCAGGGGAGAAGACGTCTGTCCAGAGGAAATATCCTACACCGCCCTAGAAGAAGAACAGTGTTCGTCAATGCCACTTGTATGTGCTGTTGCAAAAACCACTTACAGTGAGGACGAGGCCAACCAGGATCATGCCAAAGTTGAAGCTCTGCTGCGTCGCTCTCACCGCCTTCTCTCCCACCGAGAGCTCTGTCCAAGGTACATATCCATTATCGTTGAACGGTGTCACTGCTCTTCGCTTCGATTTGGAGCCTTGAGGCGCTGCCCCTAAGCCTTGTTGTGTCGCATAGTATCTCGAGACATGGAAAGGTCGAAGCGTTGATGGGACGCCCCGGAAGGCTATTGATCCGGTCGCGATGAGATTTGTCGTCGTCGGTTTCATCCTGGCGATTCGACAATAGCCATTGTACAAAGACAATTGCCTTGATTGATTGATTGATTGATTGATTGCGAGTCAGCTAAACTGTGTGATCGAGCTGTTTAAGCTCAAGTTGCAGCGTTATTGCGGCTCCACCGCCGGGCAGAATTCGAGGTGGGGTTGCCAGTCGTGGCCAAAACAGGACTAGCGTCCGTCGATATGCCACCTTATCGACAACTGCCCTTGACTACACTTCTCCTTAATTCTCGACTCTGTCTTGTCCTGTCTTGTCTTAGCAATACGAAATACCCCCTCCAAATCCGATTCTGTCCTCTCTTTGACACGTCGCAAATACGCTAGGATATAACTCCCCTTTTCGCGGTCCCGAGACCTCTTCTGTTGCTGCCTTTCTGTGTCACCTCTATACTCCCGCCTTATTACGGCCTAATAGTCAAGATGAGCGCCCTTGCTTCAAAGCAGCAGTCGCTCAAGATCTTTGAGAAGTTAAAGACCAAGCCTGCGAACAAGGTATGTACCCATTTTTTGTTTCTACACTTTCAGTAGAGGCGTTAGCTGATCATTGCGCCTACTATCAGATCTGCTTCGACTGCGGCCAAAAGAACCCAACATGGACATCCGTCCCCTTTGGCATCTACCTCTGCCTTGATTGCTCCTCCAACCACCGAAACCTTGGTGTCCATATCTCATTTGTGCGATCAACGAACCTCGATCGTACGTAGACGCCAGCATATTCACTTTCTTACAAAAAGAGTGCTGACGAGTTGGAACAGAGTGGCAATGGGACCAGCTCCGAGTTATGAAGGTTGGCGGTAACGAGTCTGCCACCAAGTTCTTTCAGCAGAATGGCGGCACTGCGGCGCTCAACAGTAAGGATCCCAAGACGAAATACCAGTCTAATGCCGCCACCAAGTACAAGGATGAGCTCAAGCGCCGTGCTGCGCGAGATGCCCAGGAGTATGTTTCTGCGTCGCAAACGATACCCCTGTTTTCCAGCTGACATGTGTCTAGATATCCCAACGAGGTTGTCATTACTGATGCTACCGACGACGGCGCCGCTACCCCTGCTGGCGAACCTGACGATGACTTCTTCTCTTCTTGGGACAAGCCTGCCATCAAGCGACCTACTCCTCCTGTCTCTCGCACTGGAACCCCCCCTGTCGTCGGCCGCACTCCCTCTCCCTTCCTAAACTCCGGTAACGGCAAGGATATCGCTCGTACAGCTTCGCCTCTGTCCCGATCTTCCACCGGCGACAACAAGCCTGTCAGCCGAATCACTACTTCAGCCGCTCTACGCAAGACGACCACCTCCACCGGTCCCCGAAAAGCCAACGTTCTCGGTGCTAAGAAGACTACCAAGCTGGGCGCAAAGAAGGTCACCAGCGACGTGATTGACTTTGACGAGGCGGAGCGCAAAGCTAAGGAAGAGGCTGACCGAATTGCGAAGCTCGGTTATGATCCTGATGCTGAGGAGGATCCCGCGACCAAGAATGCCTCTGGATCTGGTGCCGCTATCATCTCTCCTACCCCCGCCAGCCCTAGCCGCGGCACAAGTTCATCGCATACTCGCCAGAAGTCTGACGCTGAAGTTGAGCGATTGGGCATGGGCATGGGCCGACTGGGATTCGGACAGATTGGTGGTCCCAAGGCTGCTGCTGCCCCCAAGAAGAATGCCGGAGGTTTTGGTTCCGTTGGACCTGTCAAGGCCGCTGCTGTTGGTAAGTTTAGAAAGAACACAAAGACATAAAAGGATACTAATTCGATTGTAGACGACTCAGAGCGATATGCTCGCGACAAGTTCGGTACGCAGAAGGGTATCTCATCTGACGAGTTCTTCGGAAAGGGTGCCTATGACCCCAACTCTCAGGCTGAGGCCAAGACCCGACTCCAAGGCTTCGAGGGCGCAACCGCCATTTCATCAAATGCCTACTTCGGCCGACCAGAGGATGAGCCCGAGGAAGAATACGGCGATCTCGAGTCTGCTGCCAAGGACTTTGTGCGCAAGTTTGGTATCACAGCTGGTGACGATCTTGAGAACCTCACACAGATGGCTGGCGAGGTGTCTTCACGACTCCAGGGAGCCATTCGATCATACCTCGGGAACTAGACGGACTTTTGCCCCCATTGGTTCGAGGTTTAGGTGTGTGCGTGACTGTTTCTCAAGCTGAGAAGCGTTCTGTTGGTGAAAAGGCAGCAGATGAGAAGAACAACCAAAAGGGACGTGCGTCTGTTCGATTATCACTACCGAGCGAGAATTGGTGCACGGAGAATATGCTCTTTGGCATGAATCTGGGGTCGGGATGCTTTTTGGAGCTGGCGTACGCGTGAAGTCAAAGTTGACTGCTTGGTTACTCGAAGTATGAAATAGATTTGATGTTTTCCTAGTTTATGAAATCAAAAACGTATCATTTTGGTTCATTGTGATAGTTGATGCACCTAAGAGAGCAGAGTGACCTTTACAAGGACAGATGGATATCTATTCAAGGAGACGTTATGAGGAATGCTGATCCAATTCAATTGAGGCTGTTGACGGTAAATCCAAGCAAGCTATGCTCGTAGTCTACAAATATACTAAAAAAGAAATCAAGGATAAATGACAAGACATGGTATCTTATAGGTTCTTTACAGCTTGGCAATCATCTTGTTGCCCCTTTGCAACCAGGCAACAGCATCGTCTACAAACTCATCCACGACAGCCTTAGCAGGCTTCTGCTCGTTGACGACAGCAGCACACTTGCCCATGAGGTAAGGTCGGTACTTGTCCAACAGATCCTCGTCGTCATCACTATCGTTGTCACTAGCAGCCTCGGCGAGCTTGTCGAGGTCAGCCTCGTAGGGGATAACTCCCTTGGCGACAAGCTCCTTGATCTCAGCCTGACGGTTGACCTCCCAGTCATTGATGTAGTCGTTGTTACGGACACGCATGGGACGGCCGGTCCAGATGATGGTGCGGATGTTGTCGTCGTGGCCAGATGTGCGGACGGCCTCCTTGTGAGCCTTGGGAGCACCGGCCTCGTCAGTGAGGATGAATCGAGTTCCGACCCAGACAGCGCCAGCACCCATCATGAGCGCAGCAGCGAGGAGCTGACCGTTGTGAATACCACCAGCAGCGATGACCTGGACGGGGCCGCCGGTGAGAGGAGACTTGTGCTTCTTGCAGATGTCGACAACAGCGGGGATGAGGACGGTTGTGGGGATATCGCCAGTGTGGCCACCACCCTCACCACCCTGAGCGCAAATGATGTCGACGCCGAGGTCAAGGCACTTCTGAACATGCTTGACGTGACCGATCATGTTCATGTAAACAATGCCATTGGCGTGGAGCTTGTCGACGACAGCCTTGGGGGGGACACCGACGGCAGAGACGAAGAGCTTAGCGCCCTCCTCGATGATAATGTCGACGAGCTCGTTGAGCTTACCCTTGGTGTAATCGTAGCTGCGAAGTCATATGTCAGCGCTTTGTTCGTCACTAGTGGGATGTGCATGTGATGGCAAAATCTCAAGGCCGAGGGCCCCCCGAATTTGGGGTGTCTGGACTTACTTGGTCTTGCGAGCGCTGCCGCCGACCTGGGGAAGGAGCAGATCAACACCGAAAGGAGCGTTCTTGTCGTTGAGGTAGCTCTTGAGCTCAGCGATTTGCTCGCGCAGCATGTCAGGAGTGTATCCGACACCACCAATGACACCGAGACCACCAGCGTTGGAGACAGCGGCAGCGAGCTTAGGGCCGGCGGCAACATTCATGCCCGCGAGGAGGACGGGATGCTGGATCTTGAAAAGATCGGTGATGGGGGTTCGGAGCTTCTCTGTGAGGGAGCGTGTTAGCGATCGCTGAGGAATCTGGAGATTGTGCTGATGACGTACGTGGTGAGGCCATGTTGTCTGCTTGTCTGCTTGTCTTGTCTAGATGATGCTGTCGTGTCGCGTCTTGAGTTCTGGTGGTGGAATCAGGAGCTAGATTGGATTGATAAAGGAACGGGAGAATCGAGAGTTGGAGAAGAAATCCGGGGTATTAAAAGAATCAGCAGATAGAGAGGGGGTTTCGCAGGGAAAGAGGTTAGAAGCACGGTTCGCGATGGCAGGAACTACGAGGGAGGGACCACATGCCGAGGTCTAGTCTCCAGAGTCTCGTCCCAGGCTGAGCAGGAAGAGTGTGGAGTAGGAGCAGTTCCCGCATTGGGGATAGTGTCACTTTGAATCCGGGGAAGATGCCTCGGGACGAAAGAGGAGAAGCTGTTAACAATTTTGAAATGGAGTGGAAATGGCCTGACTGATAGCAGCGGAACTCGGTAAAGCCGAAGCACCTGCTAAAATGATTTTGCTGTTCTTTTTCGTTCTCCCTGGGTTTTCTCAAAGACTCGAACCTACCTACCCAAAATGGCAAACTTAGTAATCTATCAACGTCTCTGACATGTGCTCGGTGCTAACGGCAGAAACTACCTACAGTCAGCAAAGACCAAGACTCAAAAGACCCCGTGACATGAATCATGACGACCACCTCACATGGGAAACCAATGCATCTCATCCCCGTACAGTCAGCTCGGAAATGCAAGAGCTCAACCGCGTAGCCCTATGCCGCTCTCGTCAGCTTATTTTCTCCGCCAAAAAAGTATCGCAACGTCCGCTACAGCCCCATTGTACTCAGCCCTTTACTTGTAGATTTCAACAGCTGTTAGCACCGTCCGTTGAGATTCTAATCCCACCCCCGGTGTCTCTTTAACGCAAATTTTCTCGGCCTCAATCCTCCGAACTCACTCAACAACATGCTCTGAATCGTCAGTCATGTAGCTGAAGCAGCACCACTCACCATGAGACAACCTCTTCTCCCACCGCGATTGCTTGCTCAGAGCCTCAGAAGCAACGGCCACAATGCTTCTTCCGGCTCTGCTCGGGCTTTCGCCACTGCATCGCGATGTTCGTTGACGTCAACAAGGCCTCACCAGCGATCTTATTTCCATCATGCGCGCCTTCGCCCTCTTGTAAGGCGCAACATGCCTGATCTTAAGCGC